TGTAGTATGCACTTCAGGCGGCTAGGAGTGCATACTACAACAACACCAAGTCCACGCGCCTGTGTACAACCTTCACTGTCGAGCAGACTTTTGCGTTTTTACCGTTTACACGGGAACGCGGCGGTGGAGCGTTTTTAAGATTTACACTCTGGAGAGTGGCTTCACTTTTTTGCGTTTTTAAGCCTCAAACGCCATCGCTGTGTAAACGAAAGGCACATCCGATAAAATATTTTTAAGTTTTCACCCACGAGCGTTCTCGTGTAAACAGGGCCTCATTGTCATTATCCGACAAGTGGATAAAAATAACACTGAGCAAAAAGACATGCCTGCGTTGCCTGAAATAGGTCACAGTGTAATGGTGCAAAGGGAGATAGTCTCTTCTCTAGGTCCGAAATTTAATGGACCAGTTACATGGACCAAGTTCTATTGACTACTAATACATCTGTGTTACTTGACAGAGGTGTGTTGGGTACAGTATGGAGACATTGGTCACAGGTGAAACCACTCGAGAGGTGTTACCACCTCATAACAACATGATACCTCGGACATCTTAAATGTCTGTCGTAGGTGATTATCTAAATTCTGGCATTACTGTTTTATCATTTACAGATGGTTGAGCCAGACGACGTATTGAAGCGGCTAATTCTTCAAGAAGAAGTGCGTAATGAGAAGCGACAGAAAGTGAGACGGGCTTTTGTCAGATTTGTATGTGTCTTTAATTCTGATCGCATTGTCATTCGTGGATACAGATTTCCATTTGGACCGTACGATTCCATGCGTTTGCGACTAACTGGGATTGTGAAGAAATTAACAACCGTCCATCCTGGGTACAATACCCATGTCTAAATTCAACTGAGGGTCTAAATTTAATTCCGATTATGTACCAGAAAGTAAAGGACAGATGCTCTCGGTTGGACGGAAATGAGTCAGTGACCTATTGGCTGGGTCACTCCCCAAATTATCCCGGTAATACCCTCATTATGCAAAAAGGTTGTTGGGCGAGAGATGGAGGTGTTTATAACTATGAACTAACTTTAGCTCCATGAGTTGATAGCATAGCACATGAAAACCACACTGCCTTCTTATTTGTTGAAACCCATGAAAAGGGAGAGTACAGCAGAGCGGAAGAAGCGTCAAATTGTGGCGTTAGGGGACTCCAACATGATTTCAGGTACCAGTGAAACTTCACCTTATCCTAGTGATGAGTGTAACATTTTCCCAAAGAACTGTGCTAAACACAGGTTGACGCATCCCATGGGTCCCACGTGGCGTCCAGTGGATAAGAGTGAAAGTGTTAATGGTTAGCGGAGAGTTTCCTTTGAGTTACTGAATTGAAGCAAGGAACTGAATATTTCCCGGCTCAGGTAAAGGCACAGGAAGCTCAGCAGAAGTACATCACAGCTTTCCTTGAGCAAGTAAAGATCACCGATCCATTTGCAGGTTCTGCCTGGTTTAAGTCAAAGGGAACTTCTCTTGTGTCGGACTGCGAACCAACATCTGCTATAGCTGTGGCTTTCGTTCTGGCTTTTTCGGTAGGGACTGTATTTACAGATAAGACAGAAACAGTAGTGGAGTATGTGAAGGATGCTTGGGAGGACTTTGTGGCTGGATTGGAGAATATACTCTTGACATTTGTTCATTATGTGCTGTATGCTGTTGGAGCCCTTGTGGGGGTGTTGGTCCTATGTCTTTGTATTTGGTTGTGCCAATACGTCTGTTTTTGTTTCTCCTATCTTTGCAGGACTGCTTGCAGAAAATTACGACCCACCTGGGGGACAATCTGAATCGAGACAACATTGAAGCCCTGATGTGAGTGGAAGGTGGGAGAGCCTCTTAACGGGGACTGGACTTTTTAGTATCCAGCATGTCCGTGACGAGGTGAAGAGACAAGGGGTGACCCGTCAGGGAAGCATGCGTTACCACTCCATCTTCCATAGTGACCTCACTTGATAGACCAGACGTGGCGGTATTGGACCACACATCGGTCTAAAACGGGGGACTGAAGGGTTGGGGTCAGAATCCCTTGTCTTTTCAATTCAAATATATATATCCTTTTTAATGATTACATTATTCCTATAAGTGATTCACATATAGTTTTAGTCATATTTTTGTTGTTAGCGTTTCTGCCAGTATTTTTCTAAGTGTCTTGTGGTGTCTGTGACTAATCCTCTGTGCCCCTAAGCTAGGACCTTAAATACAGGCTCTTTGTATTGGGAAAGTCTAATAAACTAACTTTTGGAAAAACTTTGCCACAGCAAAACTATTTATTGTGGTGGAAATTGTGCCATAACTGAAAAATTGAATTATTCTTAAGTGGCTTGCTGACCATAGCAACTGAAAAGTAAGTGCATATATTTTGTTACCCTTCTCACATATACACTACATCTGTACATTTTATCATCCATCCCTTAAAACCTAATTTTTGCTTTCACTTTTTCATTTGACTCAGGATTTTGTGTTTTTCCCCCCTGCTAGTGAGTCAGCAGTTACGTTGCATGAGTCAGCAGAGGCCAAACACTTCGCTCAGTGCACACTTATACACACACAGCCCACTTCTGTGAATTCAGAACACAATGCTCACAACACCTGTAGTCCAAGGACGAAAGAAGTTAAGAAGTTCAGTTAGTTGACAAAGAGTTAACTGAAGACAAATTTCTCCACACTTCCATGGCCATAGAAAAATGACGATCCAGCCTCAAACTAACTTAAAGGGATAGTTCTACAAAATTTCTACATCAATAAAATCTGAGAGCTTTCTGTCCCTCCATTGACAGCTACGCAACTACCAATTTGACACTTCAAAAAGTTTGTAAAGAGATCTTTGTTTTTTTGATGAGACGTGATTGCTTTAAATGATGAATAGATTTAATTTAGGCTTTTATTTACATAAAAAAAAGTTCATTAACTTGTACATCAATGTTTTTTTTGACCCAACCCCTTCATATACTACCACATTCCAACTAAGTTTGGAATGACATGAGGGTGAATAAATGATGGCAGAATTTTCATTTTTGGGCGAACTGGCCATTTAAACCATATGGTTTAAACTGTCTTCAAAGCTTTTTAAAAGCATAGTATGCAACTCTAGCAGGTTAAAAAAAAAAAAACTGCATTCTGGGAAAGAACATAGTTACAGTATGTACTTCGGCTCTTGCTTGACTGTGCTGATGAAAATGTCCCTTCACAATAGATAATGCTTTACAATGAACTCTGTTAGAGAGCTATGGCAGTTTATCTGCTCAATAAAATACCTCATTTACCGCTGAGAATGCATCTGCATCGCATTTACAACAGTTCAAACCCCTCAGTTCTTGCCATCTCCGAAAAGTCAAGTCAATGTTGATTCTCGTTTTATTCTTTGGCTCTGTTAGCCCTTAGGTTTAGAAGTTAAGTTAGACATTGAAATGTCTAAATAAAACAGGCATTCACCTATCTGCTGCACAACACTGGAGCTCTGGAGCTTTTATTTCGGATACCAGACCACTGGTTTTCAAATTACCTGTCAGTGTGGATAGGCCTACTGTCATTCATTCATTTACTTGAGCAGTGGAGCAGCACAGATTATGAAAATCCCTTTGCTCAGGAGGACAGTGAAGATATGAAAATGAGCTTTGAGAACTGCAGTTTTCTAAGGACTGTTGCCATGCCAACAATCAAATGCATGAGTTGGGGGGGGGGAGCCTATAGTTGTTATCCTGCAGGGGATAAAGTAAAATATAGGCTAGAGGTTTATTTATCCTGTATTGACATTAGGCTATATTTTGGCCCTTGTGAGCTCTATCCATGGTGCTGAAATGTGCCTCAGGGCCGGCACTCGACATATATAGTCTAAGTTTACTTGAAAGGAAGTAAAGGCAACAGGTGAGCCACGATGACGAATAACATCCGGCATCTGGAGACCGAGGACATGCGACGCGTATCTGACGTGCGCTGATGACGCCATCAGCAGCAGCAGCAGGCATCACTGTCGTGTAGCCTACGGTGATCATTTCCAAAGCAGCCTAAGCCTATAAGGTAATCGGGCTAAAACAATACAAAAACATTTTTCAGATTTTCTTAACTTTCATTTATCTTGAACCATAAGTCAAAGGCCATTCACTGGCAACATGCTAATAACAGGCTACTGTTTGAGTTCATTCGCAACGTGAAGAGAAAACTGTTGCCTAAACACTGCTTTGGATGGGTTCTCTTTTAAAGTACAAACCCAAAGCAGTTTTCTTACTTTGTCTAAGTAACGAAACCGTATTAATGTGAGATAGCCTAGAGCCTAGACAAATTACACGTTTAATAGCATTCTTTTGAACATTTATTTATTCAAATTTGTATTAAACTTGTCACGGTAAAATGTACGTTCATCAAGACTGATAAACTGCTTTGTGCACAGATTGATTGGAAATGCAAATTCCTTCTTAGTTTTCTTTTGTTTTCTTCAATCATTAAGCATGTTCTTCACTGAGCTGTCACTTTTGGTAGGCTATACACTAACTAAGACATTTTCACACAATTGAAATGAGTCATGCTTATTTCACTTTTTGCTTTCAAAAAAGTACTGTAACAATTGATGTTTTGATGAGTTTTCATAGTTTAGGATTGAAAGTCTGAGTCATGTGTATGCTATAAAAACAGTGTAGCCTTCAAAGTATACAAAACAAAGTAGGCCTATATAAAATACGCTTGAAAAGTAGCAACAATAAATTATAAAGGCATGGATAAAACTTTATTTAAAAAAAAGTTGAGAAATTACACATGACCCTATATGCTATGCACCAAAACAGTGACAACAATGCACATTTAACAGCAGATATAAGATAATAAATGTTGTTGTATAAAGTTGAGCTCCATATCGGCTGTTTCCTTCGATATTATCTTTTAGCTTTTTATCACTTCAGTGTTTCCTCTCGCCATTCTCAGCTGTTACCTGATGGGGCCACCCTTGCGCCTCTTGGAATCCTCTCTCTCTCTCTCTCTCTCCTAAACACACACACGCCCGGATGGATGACTTCACTGTTCCGCCCGGGTTTCCTTTATGATCGCAGGATCTCCCGTATCTTACAGCAAACTTCACCTGACCGCTGGTGTAGCCGTACACTCAACCTCGCTCTCTCTCTCTCGCTCGCTCTCCCCAACACGACGCACTCTGCACCGAGCACTCCAGTCACTTGGAAGTTGGCGGTGCGAGGAGTCTGACATTTACGCGCGGGGATCTCTACTTAAAAATAAGAAGAAGTGCACTTGTTTTGCGGGGATAGTTGCCATATCCACCGTAGCTGCCTACCTACTTCAGTTTAGCGCCTTCTGCGTCGCGAGCCCGTCCTTCACAGCAGCCATGTCCGAGGTTCTGCCGTACGGAGAGGGGAAAATGAACGGATACGGAGCGGACAACGATGTCAGTCAGATGTCCTTCAGCTGCGGGCTGCAGGACACCAACTCGTTCTTCGGAGCGTCGCAAGCGAAAAGACCTCCAAAACTTGGACAGATCGGCAGAGCGAAGAGAGGTGAGAATGTTACGCCGATGAAAGATAACTTACTTAAGTTAAAGGAGTAGAGACTTCTGTAATTTAGGCTACTCACTTTCTTTTCAATGTGCAAAATAAAAGATGGTGTTAGTTAGAATGACAGTTACCATTCACTTTTATTGCAAAAGCAATGGTGACCGTCCATAACAGTTCACAAAAAGTCACAGGCTACAACATCAAGGCGATCAAACGATAGAGTTCTATTTTTAAAGTGAATTTTTAATTTAAATGCATGTTATACGATTGGAACATTTGGAGACGTTAAAACGTATCTCCAAATCATTTCAAAGATGTTTATCTGTATTAGTCTTCCTCAGGCTATTTGATGCAACCCGACTGAGAAGTTTCCGCAATTTAGGTGACATTGTTGATTTGAAAACGCATTTAATATGCATTTTAACATTTGAATTCGTTTGTACTGCATGTGTTCAGTCTAGTTGCGCAGTTTCAAAGCGCGCAAATGCGCAGATGGAAGATTGTGGGTCTTGACATCAGCTGTCTATCTTCTTCTTCACAGTGGTCATCGAGGACGACCGAATAGACGAGGTCCTGAAAGGCATGACCGACAAATCATCACCAGGCGTTTAAACCCGCGCGATGCCTTGCAGACATTTCAATTTTTTATCACCGATTCGAAGCACTTGTCGGTCGTGCATGTGAAGAAGATTGCAAAGAGATGGAAGGACGGTGGCACGACGCTCGAACCACGAGGAGGCTAAAAACAAAAAGGGAAAACGAGAATGAAAGAAGGGAGAGAAGGAATTTCCTTTGGGGTTTGCTGGCAATTCTCCTATACAAACGACACCCGAATGAAAGCTTTGAGGAAGATGTCGGAGGCGCTGTTGTGGCTGCGCGCGCTGCGGCTCTGTGAATAAAGATGGATGGACTTGTCATTATTGTTCCACGACCATCATCTTCCAAAAGCGCTGTAAGCAACACAAAGTTCAACCGAAGACTGAACCGCATCTTACACTCTGTTACTATAGCTGTACAGTATCTTTGCTCAATGACCTTCCCCTTCACACACACATACAGGAATCTGCCTTGAGCGTCGACTTCAATCCGACTGCTGCTTTTAGAGACAATGTAGACTTCACACACAAATATATTGAGCTCCCATTATGATAATTGAACTATATGTAGGCTAAGGATGGTGCAATGTGAATATTTTCTTTGACTATATTTTGCATCATGTTCTTTTTCAGAAATTGAGAATATTATCACACACATGCCCACAGGTGTTGAAGCGTAAGGGTCGTTTGCTGATCTATTGTTTTGCCCTTCACTGCAGCTGATTTGCGCACCTGCGCCACGGATTCACATCATCAGTACAGCACAGAGGAACATTGTGCATTACCACCTCGTGTAATTAAACCAACATGAATGCATCTTGGTTTCTTCCAAACCCTTTTATGTTTTCTTCATCGGCTCCTCATTTCTTTTGTCGTGTCCATCTCTTTGCATGAACTTTCACTTTGGTGCCAACAGAGGTGCCACCATGAATTGTATACCCTGGCACGCTTCTTTTAAAAAAAAGTCATATTTGTATTTTTATATCTAAATATTTGTTATTTAAAATGATATGCTAGTATGTCGTCTTAAAGATTCATCAACAAGGATGTTTATATTTCAGAGAAAAAAATCTTTAGACAGGGGCGAGAGGATAATTCAGGTTGGTTGGGATGTTGTTTTTTTTAAAGACTTGATGAATGAATGTTTCTCTGGTTTTTTGCACACCTACACATCTGTGTTGAACTACTGTTATATGGAAATCGTAAACTGTGACTTGAGCTTTGTTGAATTTGTTAGAAAAATGGCGATATTAGAGATACTGCGCTGTTTACGAATATCTTCAAATAACTTGTCACTTGACAGGTTTTTGGACACTATGTTTCTTTTGTTGATTTTATTTTATTTATTTATTTTGCTTTGTTTTGTACCATTATTCTAAGGAAACTGGTTTGTTATGCATGAAACCTTAATACTTTTCAATAATGGAACATCATTTTACTAAGCAAAAAAGCGACAAAAAATGTCATGACATTCTAAGAATGAATCATTGCATATTAAAATACCATTTTCACTGTATTTGGTGAACTAATAAATGGTGGAAGAACATACATATATGGATTTTTGTCGTCATTTGACTGCATGATAAAGAGGTAAACAAGTCTGACACATTGATTTTGAGGCCCCGCTACACATGATGCACAGTCTGCTGGTGAACCCATCTGCATTTAGAGACAGGCCTACTAATAAACAAGACTTGATATTGGCATCTCAGCTGAGCATATATATATATATATATATATATATATATATATATATATATATATATATATATATATATATAAAGAGTTCAGCATGCAAAAGCCTCTAAGTGCCATTCGAAATTTTCTTCTAGAATGATCATTTTTATCAAGCTTGTATATTTAAGTTCAGTGATTTCACTTCAATGGCAATGATGATTAGATTCCCTATTAATTGTTATTTAAGTGAAATTACTGAACTTAAATATACAAGTTTGAGAAAAATCATCATTCAAGAAGAAAATTTCAAATGACATTTAGAGGCTTTTGCATCTGAACTCTTCATATATATATATATATATATATATATATAAAAGACAAATATCCACAAAATGATAAAAAAAAGTAGTCACATGCTTAAAAAGATCCACATGCTGTTTTGAATGATTAGATCAAGCTGTTTTCGTCTAATTAAATATTAAAGGGAGCGTATGTGATTTGTTCCAGAAACGTTTTTTTGTTATGTTGGTTGAAATTCTCTTCACATCTTGATAGCAATCACTAAGTGGTCTAATTTTAAATATATATATATATATATATACAGTATATAGTCTGTGGACAGTGTAGGACCATAAAATGTTTGTCCAATCATTGCATTTGGTCCAAATGCAATGATACGATGTCTGCCTGTCAATGCATATGTATTTATATACACACCCTGCTCACACAGACATCACACGTCTTCAGTGCGTTTCATGCTATGCAGAGTTAGACAGACGTTAGTAACCAAGCACGAAAACAGCAGCCACCTACAGTTCCTCCTGAACCAAAACAACAAGCTTATATGCTGCGTTCACATCGTAACTTCTGTCATTTGGAAGAGATGGAAACCTGTGACGTTATACTCGGAGTGGTTCGTGACTCGAAATTATGCGTTTCAATGGCAACATCATCAATGCCAAAATTAATCTGCAGCTGTTACCACTCTTTAAGTTGTTTATGTTCATTATTATTGTAATGTTATGTGCTCTGAGATATGAGGTAGTTTAATCAATTTCAAACTCTGCTGTGTGTTCCTGTGTTTTGAAGGCATGGCTTTCACAAGTTCACACTTACATACAATTAGCCTTTCGCCGAGCCCCGCCCCCCTTAGTTACTGCTGCTACCTCCGTCAAACAAATGGTCAAACACGGGCAGCGCGACAGATTGCCATGACGGCAAAGGGTATTCCCGTGCGTGTCGGTGACCTTTTTTGGAGCAATACCTCCGCGATATCAAGCAAGATCGAAGCAAAAGGGGTTACGGTATGCGGTGGAGGGATTTATTCCAAATTTTATAAATTAAGAAATGAATGAGACACGACTACTATTGATGCTAATGCTTACCAGTCTCAAGAAAAATCAGAAAAACCCCATGACCATGCTAAGTTACCTCAAATGCAACCAGCACAGCCTTGAAGATTTTATAAACTGGTTCAGTGGCTAATTGTTTGGAGTTCGAAATATATAACTTGCGCTGCATATTTATTCATTTTGCCTCGGATACAGGAGTACACGTTCGCTTTAACAAGCAGGTTGTTCATTACCACAGCAACCGATTGCGTGTCATGCTCATGCTGAATGCGATTTTCGTGTTTAAAAAGTAACTAACGTTATGCATAAGAGACGGAAAGAGGCAGAGAACCATACGTTATTTAAGGTTATTTCTATTCGTTACGATATTGATATATGAACTGATGTTGTCATGTAAGCTTCATGCTTTCCCCGTTGCGAACGTCCTCTAAACTGTAGTCTACGGTGCTGCACTGCTAACTTAGCTGACTGCTGCTCATTTTCCCAGAGAATATCATGGTATGTTAACAACAACCCTTTAGAAAATGTACAGTAAGTCCTTTGTGGATCCTCTTGATCTGCTTTCTCCGTGCTTCTTTGACTAATCTCAGTCGCACGCACGCTGCACGCGAGACGAGTTAACCATGTTCGACACATTTAACTGGAATTGGGGCGTCCATACTGTTTAATACATCTTAGGCACCGCTCGCGTTGTGTTTTGGGCTTTGGAAAGGGAAAAAACACAACTTCTCCAGACAGTCTCTCGGGGTATCATGTGTCCGATTTACTAACGCCGTGGGCGCACCGCTTACTGTTTGACGGAACAGCTCACACAGTAACGGTTGCTATGATGTGTGATTGGACAATGGCCATTTTGTGGGAGGGGCCGGCGAAAGGTCAATTAGAGTGGATAAGGTTTAATGCGGGGGGAGGGCTCCAAGCTCGGAGTTTAGCCCGAACTCAGAGTATTCCCCCCACCGTAAGTGTTTAGGCCTAGAATTGTGGAGAAGGGGCGGTGGGGGGATGCTGCTAACTAAACTATCAATGGAGTGAGGTGAGATTGCTGAATCAATATAAACCTCTTATCATTGATTGCTGGGTGCACTCCACTCGTGTTAATTAACTGAACGTGCTCCTCCCGAGCTTTGTTAATAAAACATAATTTGGAGACGCTCTGAAGGAAGGGTGGGATCTCATGCTTTCAAAGTTAACTTGCTATTGCTAGCAGCTCTGAAAATTGCCTACCCTACCTTTAATGCTTCAATATATGGAGGGAGCGTTGGTGTGTTCCAGGCCTGTATTTCCTAAAGGACATAGTGAAGTTTGGCACCAGTTCTGATGCCCATGTAATTATGCTCAGACTGATCTCAGGCTAAGCTCACGGTCATGCTGACAGGGAGACCGTACGTGTGGCATAAGGCCTCATGAGAGCTTTGAGCTGTGCTGCTACATTTACTTGAGGACCTTCTGCACCTCGACATTGGAAGATGGATTATAGGCCTTGATGAAGGAGACTGACGGTAAATCATCTGACGGTTTCCTTGAAATCTTTAAAGGGATAGTACACCCCAAAATTAAAATGTCATGTCATCATTTACTCACCCTCATGTAATTCCAAACCGGTATGACTTTCTTTCTTCACTGATCCGACAAAACCTACAGAACATGTCAGTTGCTGTTGGTTGGCATCTGTCAGTCCAGTATCAATTATCTTTTACCTTGCATTCAAGGTAAACATATCAGCACATGTATCCTCTGGGATTTGAACCCATTCCCTTGGTGTTGCTAGCACCATGCTCTACTTTGAGCTACAGGAATACTACAGGAATACTTGGGTTAGTTCACCCAAGAATGAAAAGTCTGTAATTTACTCACCCTTATGTTGTTTCAAACCTGTAGCGCCGCCTTCACACTGGCAGTAATCAGTAATACGCAATACGTTCCCAACGGATGTCGTACTACACAGTGAAAAGCGTCGGACGCGGGTATAACAAAAATGGCGGAGAGATTAGAAAGGTTGATTCTGTCAGTTCTGTATGATCTCTCTGATGAGGGTTATAGAGATATTAATAGGAAGGCTGCTGCGTGAGGAAAGTTGCCAAGGACGTTAACATGTCAGGTCGACTAAAAACTGTGATATGGTGGTCAATAGTTCAATGTCTGCCTACAATTTAATTGTATTAACTGCCCTAATAACGTTAGAAAGTCACGAAAAAAAAAAAAATGACATGACAACTTCTCGTTATAAAATCATTACTTATTTTATTAAACGTTAACAATTCAGGTTTGTTTATCAGTACCATAGCAACGCTCAACTTCGGCTGGAATGGGCTCTATGCACGGCGGTATTTCTGGTGAAGGTGTAAGGATGCTCGATAACTTCCGCCGATCGTAGAGTCCAATGCAATACCGAGAACCTATATTGAATTTTATACTGCATGGTTATACTAAAGAAACGTTAGTCACAAAAACAGATAAAACAGACACCCCTCGTTGTGTTTATGCTTCTTTTTAAAATTATATTAAATAAACATAATTATATATAAAATTACATCTAAATGTATGAAAGTACAGTAAATTTTGAAGAATCTGCCATAATCACATTTTCCTCGGTTTTCCTCCACTTTATTTTCCCCAACCGGAAACTGAAGAGCATTCGTGCGTCAAATGCGGAACTTATGCGTGCATAAAATCTATTGTCGTTTGGGAACCGCCCGTAGCTTTTCGCAAGAGTTCAATTTTTTGATCGCATCTGGATGACCAACGGACACGACTGTCTTCGCACCACACCCGGCCGGACCCGTTTTGGACCCATTCGGATGCGGTCTGCGAATCTCCATAGGAAATGAATGACTTCCGGCCGTTTCAAAGTCGTATCGGAAAGGATTTCTACTGCCAGTGTGAAGGCGGCGTAAGAGTTTTTTTTCTTCTTCTATGGAACACAAAAGAAGATATTTTGAAGAATGTTGGTATTCAAAGAGTTGTCGGTAGCCATTGACTTACAAGTACATAGTCGGAAAAAAAATACTACGATGACTATCGTTAAATTTCTGGTCAACATTCTTCAAAAAATCTTCTTTTGTTATTGACAGAAGAAAGAAACTCATACAGGTTTGGAACAACATAAGAGCGAGTAAATGATGACAGAATTTTCGTTTTTGGGCGAACAGTAATTAGACTGAAAACACAATCAGGATGTTACTGGTCATTTAAAAATGGTTTTCTCTGGCGAGGTTATTCATTTATTAATTCCAAACAGCTTGGATAAATCTATGTTTACACCAAACGCTCTAAAACATCTAGTGCAGTTAAATTTCACAGGAATATTGATGCTTTTCTTCAACACACACTCACACACACCCCCCAATACAATGTGTGTGATTCAACCGCAAGAGAATCAATCGCTTTTATCCGCGATCTATGCCGTCATGCGCCCATGATTGACCTTTGTGTCAGCCACGTCCGATGAGTGCAATGAGGCTCAGGATCCATCTGGAAACAAGTCAGGCTTACCCTGAATCAATTTAAACTCCAATACTTATCCAATCCTGATAACATTCCATAACTCTCCAGTTGACCCAAGCTCAAGTTTGGCCAGTAAAATTTCAAACGATTTTTTTGGATAATCGATGTCAGTTTAACCTCAGTGGTCATCACATACTCCTGATATCTGTGCGTGTTTATTCGAAAAGACTCGACGAGGTCCTCACACAGCAGAAAGTCCATCAGTCAGTTACTCAACCGAAGTCAAGGACACTCAGCTTCACCATCTCAGTCTATTAATACACCTTCATGGCTGTTGCAGTGTTCCTGAATGGCTCCAATGCCCAGGGGAATCCTTACCGCTTCACACAGGCTGCTCAGAGCTGGAGATTACTGATACACTATCTGAACAGACAGGCGGCCCGCGGCAGCTCTGGAGTGACTGAGCCACGCTGTGGCCTGACCCAATATGGAAAGCTCAACCCTCGGCAGATAATGACAGCGTGATAACGGAAGAAAGAGGGAGAGATGACATTCTAAGATTCTCAAAGAATGAGCTCTCTGCCGGTGAGAAAGACATTTGATTTAAGAGCATTGTCCTTGATTCATCCCAGCTTGTTGTTCTCAGTTGGTGCTCCTTCCTTAGATCTCCTTCTCCCAAAAAATCTTGCAGTATCCTCATTTAACACCAATGTGAGTCAAAATGAAGGTGTTTGAACTGGATCGTATAAACCATAGGTATACAGAAAATTGTGCCACTGAAATAAAAAAAAAAAATTCTTTTTTATTTTGTTCATTTGTATCTACTTTTTATTAGGCATTGTAGAGAGACAACAGGAAATGACAAGCAAGGGGTCAAATGTAATTTGGAAACATTGCAAACCAAATTCAAACTGTCATTTACTGTGCGGCTCCGCTTTACTGTGATTATCCAAGACCAGTTGGATCCTGGTCAGTCCTGGTGGAATATTTCCAACATCCAATCATATTTCAGGATTAGGTTCAGGGCTTGGCTTGGGACTTAACATTCATATGATTATCCTATCATTTTGCTTTGATTTTAGGGACAGCTTATGGATTAGAAACTTGGATCTATGACAGGAATGTTGTTCCAGAACCTGCAGCTCTTCTGCAGTCTCAGTGCAGTCTGATATATAATATTTAAAATACATGAATAGTTGTCGGTTTTTTTTTTTCAGTTTTTATAATTTGGATACATTTCTGAGATTGGTTAATTTATAGAAGCTGTATTTCATCCTTATATCAGTTCCAGAATTTAGATCATTTTGAGAAAATAAGGTAAAAGTTGTAAACATTCATGTTGTCATTATGTGTATATCAGCATTATATTCCTCACCAAGCTCTCTAAACATTAGCACGGGCACATTATAATTTAATTTAGATTCTGAAACGCATTACATAATCCTACACATAACAGAGAGATGCAGGGATAGCAGAGTTAAGTAAACAGTTTGTTTTTACCAAATAAATGAAATCAATTAGGTTTTGAAGTGCTGCACTCTAATCCAAAAATACCCCTGCTTTGACCTTAAAAGCAATAGTGAAGAACCCCCAATACCAGCCCGACCCACACACCCCACACCCCGGTCCTCAACGTAGCTTAGTGAAATGTTTACCCTAGTGTTGTCAGTGTGTCGGCTGTGAGCAGGGGTTTGGGTGTCTGCTATCAACACCACGGACTATGCTGTTGTCGGCTGCGCTGCTGGATGATGATGTAATGGTGTGTCCTGACCCCTCCCCCCAGCTGAACAACAACACACATTTGTCCCTACAGAAACATGAGCCTGAACAGGCAGATGCCAATCTTACAATAATGATATTAAAGGGACATATTTTCATTTTGGATTGATTTCTTATGGGTGCAATAATAGTGATGATTACAAACAACAACAAATTATATATATCAACTCATTTACCTATCACCTGCCCATCCATCCATCCATCCATCCATCCATCCATCCATCCATCTATCTATCTATCTATCTATCGCCTGGCCAACCATCTACTCATCCATCCATCCATCGTAAATTTTGCTTTGTTGTAGGTACAACAACTGTTTATGACATTTAAAAGCCAAATTATCCAATTACATTTGGTGAGAACCATACAAGGACTGATTTCATTCTTCTCTAAGACAAGCCAACATCTCAGAAAATATCATACAAGTACACTACTGAAATAACTCATAATCAAATATTTAAAAAAATCATCATAAGAATGTCAAAATAAAGTAAAACTTGAATGTGGGTTTGTATTGCAAGGCTGTAAACAAAACATAACCAGCCATTAGACTAATCAGGGTCTCCTGTTCGCCAGCAGCTTTGCGGTGTTTAGGCAGCGATAAGTTCCTGAAGAACCATCACACAGCATGGTGTGAGGATACGATCACAGAATAAATCTACACCAGATACCTACGGCTCACCTGATACCAGCGGCCATCTGATACCATCCCTGGTCTGACGTCATTTCTTAGTGCTTCAGTGAAGGGGAAAGACCTGTGACTACATCATCAGCTTTCACGGGAGATACATTCAATCTGAACATGATCAGCTCTGAACTAAAAGTTTATGAAACTGTCTGCTACAGGTATATTTTATTAGTTTTTCACGGGGTTAGGGCTTCAAAATCAATCAGTTAAGTATTAATTTGGGTGCATACTGTAACTCATCCCACATGAACATGAATAGTTCCTCAAATTGTTAATTTGTTTTAGAGGAAAGATCTTCCTATTATACTTTTCAAAGTGATTAAACTTCCAATTTTCTCAGGAAGGCAGTCATTTTTTTTTAAATTTTGATTTTAAAATCCCATTGATTTACCCAAGCCATCCCTAAGAATAAAAATATCATACTTGGAGATGGCTTAGGAAGAAACCACATATTAACCACTCGGGACATATTAGCAACCACTTGGTAATGCCGTGGCAAACATTCACAACAAAGTGGGTTTAAATATGCTTTGGACTCTCTTAATTCAAGACTAACTTTCCTCTATTTACTATTAAAAACCACAGTGTAACATTTCAATCTATGTTCACATTGGCACACAGGAAGCTGTTCTGAAATTCAGGCACCTTCCTCAAGTCTTAAAAATAGACAGTAATTACATTCCAGAGCAAAATTAAAAATAGATGATTTCTGGTTTATTAATGGCCTCATCCGATTCACTGCAGCCATTCCTCATCCAAAGCAGTGCACACACACACACACATACACGTCTGTCATATTCTGGCACACAGCAGGGTTGTTTGTTTACTTTCTGTCTGTTTATTTGTTGTTTGAGAAGCATTTGTGACAGATTTGTCTCTACACAGGTCACTCAACATTGTTATTCCAATCAACACAATCGCACAGAGAAATAGGCCAGAGAGAGAGAATGCAAAATAGACTTAAACTGCACATGAAAGAGTCCTAAAAAAGCATGGTATGAAAGCTTTTAAAAAAGAGACACGATATTTCTTTACAAGCTTACTGTAGTTTCAAATCAATGTATCAAACCAACTCAAAAACGATACAGTGTGGCATAAAAGTCAAACATGGCATTTCAAAAGTTCACAGCATCTAAAAGCGTTTTTTTTAACGTCCCCAGATAAACAGAGCAATCCTGTTTAAAAAAAAAGAAGGCCAGCGAACTGTTAAAGGGATTTAACAGTGTTGGAACAATGTGGGATGTTGTATTAAAAATCTGTATTTTCTTTCTTTCCTCGAACACAAAAGCATATTAAAGAAAAGAAAAAAGAAACCTTTTCCATGAAAGAAAGATGAATTTGGAACAACATTGATGCTTGACAAATGCTGTACAAGTCCCTATAATCCAATGTTATTTAGGAAGTCCTCAGAGTCCACTTCCTGAAATGTGACATAAGTGGGTGAAGCCTGAGTTTCCTGGAGCGGACTCTTCTCCAGTGCCGCATCCTCTGAGTTAAGCTCCTCCCCTTTGGTGAGAACATACAGGAAGTAGTGGAAGCTGCTGCCATAGTGATAGTGCTTGATAGACCAGTCGTACTTTGCTCGAGCGTAGAGTCTCTTACGGAAATGTGGCTGCGCAAATGTAACAGAGATGAATCGGCCTCCGGGTTTCAAAACACGACTGACCTGCAGGGCAAAAAAAAAACAAAAAAAAAACAAAAAAAAAAAAAATCACCTGATTTCTATAATTATTATGAGCGTCACCTACATTTATTCACTTAGCTGACGCTTTTATCCAAAGCGACTCACAATTGCTATATATGTCAGAGTTCGCACGCCTAACTTGGGGTTAAGTGTCTTGCTCAGGGACACATTGGTGTCTCACAGTGGATTCAAACCTGTGTCTCTCACACCAAAGGCATGTGTCTTATCCACTGTGCCATCACCACCCCCTTGATTAAATCTAACTAAAACTAAAATGAAAATTAAATCAACATTTACCCACCCTGGTGTTTTTCATGCCATATGGACTTCTTTCTTTTTCACACCACAAAAGGAGAATTAAAAAAAAAAAAATCTTGCTCACGCTCGTCCTTATAATGGCAGTGAATAGCGATCAGCATCAAACTTTTAAAAAATGTGTTCTGGGGTATACGATAGGGTTTGGTGAAAAAAACAACAGAATTTGAATGTGTTATTTAAAGAAAATCCTGACCTTTGCCGTTGGTCTTCGACATGAGTGTTCATGAAATTCTATAAGCACCACAGTTCACTCCACAATTTGTGAGAAATCAAAGAGACATGAATTATAATCAACGTACCTTCTTCACTGAGGTGAAAATATCCAATGTGTTCATCGCATAAAGAACATATCGTATTCTCATCTGTAAACTGTCATCAGACAACTGGAGTTCAACACAGTGAAGAAACGTGAACTGCAGTGCTAATAGTCTCATGAACGCACACGTCGCATAGCTGTGCACAGAAGACAAACAGTCAAGGTCAGGATTTTCAGTTACACTTCATCTTACAGTAGGCCCTATGTGTACTACTACCCAAGAAAGTTACCATTATAACCCAATGGATACATGGGTTAGATTAGGATAGGTTTAAGGATAGGTTCAGGTTTAGTACCGAGTTATAACCCAGTTATTGTAATTGCTATAATAAGTACGTACATGTGGAAAGTAAAGTGCTACCGGATTTTCTTTAAATAGGTACATTCAATTTCAGTTTGTTTTTCACCAAACCCAATCATACAACCCCAGAACATTTGGAATATACACCACGTGTCGCTTGGGATCATTCTGTGATGCGTTCGCATTGGCCCTCCAGGGCAAGATTTGAGGAACCCTGGCATACAAAATTAAAATTACAGTGTAAGTAAATAATGAATTAATTTTAATTTTTAGAATACTAATCTTTAAAATACTATGACAAACTTTTCATTGTAATACATTCGTTGTGTAATTTCAATATGATATTGTGGTTAAAAATTATTTCCTTTACTGCCACTAATGCCAAACCTTTGATTGAATCAACTGAAATCACATTTTTAATGAATTATATGCTTATTCTCTGCAGGGGAACGGAAGTTGCAGATTTTTCTTTAAAAAACCTCTCACAGATGCAGCCAAAGAAAAATGCAATGCACAGTAATGTACCTTACAGCTACGTTTTGAGTGCATGTGTATATGGGTTTACTAGCTGTAGATTTACTTTATAGACAAACATTTTCTTGCAATTTATCGAAGTATGATAAAATCACCATTTGAAGAGATCAAAGGACATTCTCAAAAGTAAAAATAAAAAATAAGATTGTTTTAATCTAAAACTGCTAAAAGTCTTGTAGATTTACAGCAAGTATTTAGTTTTTAAAGAAAACTTTATATAAAAACAATATGACCCAAGTGGTTTTACACTTAAAGTGTGTGTTTATGAGTATGTTTGTTTACACTATTGATAAAAAGTTTTTGGTCAATAAGATTTATTTAATTTTTTAAGTCTTTTATGCTCACCTTAGCTACATTTATTTGATTAAAAACACAGTCAAAACTGTAATGGTGTGAAGTCCTGTCTTCAGTGTCACATGATCCTTCAGAAATCATTTTAGTATGCTAATTTGATGAGCAAGAAATATTTCTTATAATAATCAATGTTGAAAGCTACTGTGCTGCATCATATTTTCTGTGGAAACTGTGATACATTTTTCAGGGTACTTGAATGAATAGGAAGTTTAAATTAACAGCATTTATTTGAAAAAAAAAAAAATCCTTATAACCTTATAGATGTATTTGCCGTCACGTTTGACCAGTTTAATGTATCCTTGTTAAATACAAATATTAATTTTGTATACTGAGCTCACACCTTTGAACGGCAGTGTATCTGTGCCCATGAGCATGTTGGAGTGTTTGTGTGTATTGGTTAGTGTGCATGAGTGTGAGTGCATCACATGCCCCTACCACCCATTCTTCATCTGCCTGAAGAAATGAATAATTCACAGTTTCTGATGTCAACATGGAATCTGAGAGTGTGAAAGAGAGAGAATAGAGAGAGAAACTTCCAGACTTCCACTAAAAACTTGAATGTCACAGTCTTTCTCCCAGTTTAAAATAAATAAATGTTTTCCAGTTAATTCTAGACTGATGTGCTATTGAGTTTTGATTCTTAAAGGGCTCGTTCTTCTGTGGAACTCCAAAAAAGTATAATAAAATTATAGCCCATACAAAATGTAGAGTGTGTCATGACTCATGATTCACTCAAAATCTTGCCTTCTGCTGTATCTCATTCAATTCAAATTCGGCAAATCAAGACAAGATGTGTTGCGTTTGACATCAAGGGCTATGTGTCCATCGACCTGCTTGTATGTGAATTTTGGGATATTAAATAAAAAACGCTGGATGGAAAGCCCAGATGAGCATATTCTAAATATATAACGAAAAAACGTATGTTCATTTGAGACAGATAATTTTTTTTATAGATAAGAAAGCATGCGCATAAACTATGATGGAAACACATTTACCAAAGTAAATCGTTCGATGGGCAACACAATACTTTACATCACCAGAGGATGTGCTTGGATACCTAGATAAAACAAGTGGACTAATTTCATTCTATCGCATTTCAAATGTTGGTAAGTTCATTCTGAAATGCCTGAGTCAAAGTCTGTAATCAGAATGATTAGGTATAATGACCTCCCAGAAGAGTCCTCACATGACTACATTCCCAAACACCAAGCATCCACCTCCAAATGCAAGATAACATGACAGCATTTATTCCATATATTGCATTTCGTTGCATTATGATGTAAAAAAAAGCCACAGTAGCTTGCCCGATTGCAACAACTATTTTTATTACAGATATTTTGTGCCAATATCCCAGGAAGTGACGATTTTGTTCTCTCGAATGCATCGGATGCATCGAATGCTTTATTTGCAAATGTATCATGCACAAGTTAAATTCGCAACCTTTTTGCTCACAAGTCACTGAGGCAAGTGGTTTTCCAAAGTTACAAGCCACAATCTTGACATTGATACCATGGGGCCATTTTTTTAATATCTCATAATTTGGCAGCAGGTCTATTATGCTGCCGTCACTTTAAGACCTGATGCACAGATCCATTATACTGTTATACATGCGTTTTCTTTTTCAACGGTTTACGTTAATTTAAAACACAGCTAACAGTGTTTATGTTAATACTGGCCAAGATCGGCGTTTTGACATTATTTTCAGTGTATTATTTTCATTGTTTTCACTGTTTAAGTAGCCTGGCTAACGCCAGATCACGTATCATTGAGAATGAGGTGTGGTCTGGAAACCACATGTTCATTTTCTCGTATTTGAGGCGTGGTTTACGAATGCCCAGAGTCGTATTATTGGGTGCTACAAATGTCTATCAAATGCGCCTGTGCGTAGCTCATAGCCAATCGGTTCAATGGTACCAGATTACGCATGTAGAGCGACAGAAAATTAGATTGGTCAGAGATTTAGGAGATTTATGTATACACAAAGGCTGTATCAAAAGGTAACTTTGCATCCGCTGCCAAGATGGATCCACAGATATAAACAAACTGCTTCGGTGTGTCGCATATACAGTACGTCATCATCGTTTTGCAGCTCCCACCCCGTTCTGTGATTGGTTCCCTGTCTCAGGCGAAAATTTGGTTCATGGTGTCCAGGCTGCCTAGCAGCATGAATAAAACCGTACTGCGGCAAGGCAGCATGGGGGAACCCAGGATACTGTTTAAGTGCAAAAAGCAATGAAAAATAACTCACTTAGGTACTAAGAGGCGGCTTAATGTGCGCGGGTTTGAGAGCAAAATCCGCGGGAATGAGTGAAAATATTCTATGCAGAAAAACAACATCAACAATATTCATCAGGGGCAAATGAAACAAGTTTGTGTGTCAACTTGCTGTTGGAGAGATGAGAGAGCGAGAAAGCACAGTGTATCTATTATGCGTAAAAAGAGTATTGGAAGCGTTTAAGATAGTCAAGTATTGAAAAATCTATATTTTTGACAAATCTACATTGCTATTAGTTTATTATTTCAGATGCCTTTTAAAAAAAAACTACAACTGAAAGATGTAGGATCACTCTTCCTATGTTTCATAGATGTAAAAGCAAGCATAGACAGTAAAAACCACGGTTACTTCTCTTCGCCAGTAGCGTCCAGTATGAAACAGTGAACATGACACTAAACAGTTTCTCCTGGGTGAAGTGCCAGATCTTACCGTGAAACAGATGATCTCAGCTCGCCGTTAGCAGCTGATGAGACTAATGATCAGGTTTATTGATCTCTCTCTCTGATTTATGACCCTCTGACACCAAACCAGTCTCAAGGTGAATGCTAAACCCTGGATCACACACATTACAGCGATCACAGTCAATGTGCCTTTGGTTTGTTGTTGTTTTTTGTTTTGCTTTGACACAAAAAGACATATGAATGAATAGCCGTGCGTTCTATCAGACATGACATCTGAATGAGAAAGTGGTGGTTAAAAGACAGGGAGGGTTTTCTTCAATAAAAGCAGACCTCATCTGCAGAATTACTGTTGCCATTATAATAATTATCTTGCTCCACTTACTGTATGATGTCAGCATCACACTTCTGCTGTTATGGGCCCTGCAACAATTACACCTAACCTGAAGTTCAAAACACTCTGGTTAATGGCGCATTAAGGTTCTT